TTTCTCCTCTTTCATCTCTTTCTCTGTTTCTCATCTCTCTTTCTCCCTCTCTCTCCCTCTCTCTCTCTCTTAGACACACACACACACACACACCAGTCTCTTCCCCTCTGACTAAACGGGACAATCGTTGGCAGCCCCGCGAGGCGAGAAGAGATGGAAGATGTTGGGGGAAAAAAGGGATTGTGCAGTGGCGGCTCAAGGATCTGCACATTTCCTTGCCGAATTCGAGAAGAGATCGGGTGCGGTTTCCTCATGCAGCTAGTCCTCAACGACCTTCGTTGAGTCGCCGTCTTGGTTATAAGTCACCACGGGCATCACGCATCGATCGAGACGTGCTGTGGCTCCACGGAAGGTTCTAGATTTCAATAAAAAATGTTTTTTTGAGTCCAAAAAGCGGCTCCCGGATTTAAAACGCTCGTGGCAACTGGCCACCCGGATGGATTTCTTCCTGTGGTTAAAAGGCCCACAGGAACTTAGCAGGTTGGGAGAACTTTGAATCTCCTTGAGGAGTTAACTCCTTCCAGAATAGCTTGAGTTGGAAGGGATCTTCGAGGTCTTCTAGCCCAACCCCTTACTCAAGCAGGAAACTGCACCACTTCAGAGCAATGCCTGTTCAATCTCTTTGGAAACCTCCCGTAATGGCGCACCGACAACTTCTAGAGGCAAGCCCGAAGTTCCACTGATTATAGGGAGTCCTCAGCTTACGACCACAGTCGAGGCCACTAAGGAAGTTTCTCCTTAGTTCCAGGTTGCTTCTCTCCTTGGTTAGTTCCCATCCGTTGCTTCTTGTCCTTTCGGTGTTTTGGAGAAGAGATTGACCCCTTCCTCTTCTTTGTGGCAGCCCCTCACATATTGGAGGACTGCTATCATTTCTCCCGTAATCCGTCTTTTTTTTTTAAACTAAACTGGCAGCTGCGGAATTTTTTCCCCCCAACGGTTCGCATTTTTTGCCCTCATTATTTTTCTTTTTCTTCTTCTTCTCCTCCTCCTCCTCCTCCTCCTCCTCCTCCTCCGCCTCCTCCTCCTCCTCCTCCTCTCTTCTTTCTTCTTTCTTCTTTTTCCTTCTTCCTCCTCCTCCTCCTTCCTCCTCCTCCTCCTTCCTCCACCTCCTCCTTCCTCCACCTCCTCCTCTTCCTCTTCCTCCTCCTCCTCTTTTTCTTCTTCTTCTTTCTTCTTTTTCCTTCTTCCTCCTCCTCCTCCTTCCTCCACCTCCTCCTCTTCCTCTTCCTCCTCCTCTACTTCTATTTCTTCCTCC